GAAGTGATATCACGTCTACAGAGAGAACAGGGCGCTGTGCAGGAAGTGATGTCACGTCTAAAGTGAGGACAGGGCGCTGTGCAGGAAGTGATGTCACATCTTCAATGAGAACAGGGCGCGGTGCAGGAAGTGATGTCACGTCTACAGAGAGAACAGGGCGCTGTGCAGGAAGTGATGTCACGTCTAAAGTGAGGACAGGGCGCTGTGCAGGAAGTGATGTCACATCTTCAGTGAGAACAGGGCCCTGTGCAGGAAGTGAGTCACGTCTACAGAGGAACAGGGCGCTGTGCAGGAAGTGATTGTTCACGTCTAAAGTGAGGACAGTTCGCCTGTGCAGGACGTGATTCACGTTCTACGTGAGAACAGGGGCGCTGTGAGGAGTGATGTCACGTCTACAGTGAGAACAGGCGCTGTGCAGGAAGTGATGTCACGTCTACAGTGAGGACAGGGCGCTGTGCAGGAAGTGATGTCACGTCTACAGTGAGAACAGGGCGCTGTGCAGGAAGTGATGTCACGTCTACAGTGAGAACAGGGCGCTGTGCAGGAAGTGATGTCACGTCTAAAGTGAGGACAGGGCCCTGTGCAGGAAGTGATGTCACGTCTACAGTGAGAACAGGGCCTTGTCAGGAAGTGATGTCACGTCTAAGTGAGACAGGGCCGTGCAGGAAGTGATTCACGTCTAAAGTGAGACAGGGCCCTGTGCAGGAAGTGATGTCACGTCCAGTGAGAACAGGCGCTGTGCAGGAAGTGATGTCACGTCTAAAGTGGACAGGGCCTGTGCAGGAGTGATGTCACGTCTACAGTGAGAACAGGGCGCTGTGCAGGAAGTGATGTCACTGTCTACAGTGAGACAGGGCCCTGTGCAGAAGTGATGTCACGTCTACAGTGAGAACAGGGCGCTGTGCAGGAAGTGATGTCACGTCTACAGTGAGAACAGGGCGCTGTGCAGGAAGTGATGTCACGTCTACAGTGAGAACAGGGCGCTGTGCAGGAAGTGATGTCACGTCTACAGTGAGAACAGGGCGCTGTGGCAGGAAGTGATGTCACGTCTACATGAGAACAGGCGCTGTGCAGGAAGTGATGTCAGTCTACAGTGAGAACAGGGCGCTGTGCAGGAAGTGATGTCACGTCTACAGTGAGAACAGGGCCTGTGCAGGAAGTGATGTCAGTCTCAGTGAGAACAGGGCGCTGTTGCAGGAAGTGATGTCACTGTCTACAGTGAGAAACAGGGCGCTGTGCAGGAAGTGTGATGTCATGTCTACAGTGAGAACAGGGCGCTGTGCAGGAAGTGATTGTCACGTCTACAGTGAGAACAGGGCGCTGTGCAGGAAGTGATGTCATGTCTACAGTGAGAACAGGGCCTGTGCAGGAAGTGATGTCATGTCTTCAGTGAGAACAGGGCGCTGTGCAGGGAAGTGATGTCAGTCTTCAGTGAGAACAGGGCGCTGTGCAGGAAGTGATGTCATGTCTCAGTGAGAACAGGGCGCTGTGCAGGAAAGTGATGTCATTCTTCAGTGAGAACAGGGCGCTGTGCAGGAAGTGATGTCAGTTTCAGTGAGAACAGGGCGTGTGCTAGGAAGTGATGTCATGTCTTCAGTGAGAACAGGGCCGAGGGCGTTGTGCAGGAAGTGATGTCACATCTTCAGTGAGAACAGGCGCTGTGCAGGAAGTGATGTCATGTCTTCAGTGAGAACAGGGCGCTGTGCAGGAAGTGATGTCAGTCTACAGTGAGAACAGGGCGCTGTGCAGGAAGTGATGTCACATCTTCAGTGAGAACAGGGCCTGTGCAGGAAGTGATGTCATGTCTTCAGTGAGAACAGGGCGCTGTGCAGGAAGTGATGTCATGTCTTCAGTGAGACAAGGGCGCTGTGCAGGAAGTGATGTCATGTCTTCAGTGAGAACAGGGCGCTGTGCAGGAAGTGATGTCAATGTCTTCAGTGAGAAACAGGGCGCTGTGTAGGAAGTGATGTCATGTCTTCAGTGAGAACAGGGCGCTGTGGCAGGAAGTGATGTCACATCTTCAGTGAGAACAGGGCCCTGTGCAGGAAGTGATGTCATGTCTTCAGTGAGAACCAGGGCCCTGTGCAGGAAGTGAGTCACGTCTTACAGTGAGAACAGGGGCTGTGCCAGGAAGTGATGTCACATCTTCAGTGAGAACAGGGCGCTGTGCAGGAAGTGATGTCATGTCTTCAGTGAGAACAGGGCGCGTGCAGGAAGTGATGTCACGTCTACAGTGAGAACAGGGCGCTGTGCAGGAAGTGATGTCATGTATACAGTGAGAACAGGGCGCTGGCAGGAAGTGATGTCACATCTTCAGTGAGACCAGGCGCTGTGCAGGAAGTGATGTCATGTCTCAGTGAGAAACAGGGCGCTGTGCAGGAAGTGATGTCATGTCTACAATGAGAACAGGCGCTGTGCAGGAAGTGATGTCAGTCTCAGTGAGAACAGGGCGCTGTGCAGGAAAGTGATGTTTCATGTCTCAGTGAGAACAGGGCGCTGTGCAGGAAGTGATGTCACGTCTTCAGTGAGAACAGGGGCGCTGTGCAGGAAGTGATGTCATGTCTTCAGTGAGAACAGGGCGCTTGTGCAGGAAGTGATGTCAAGTCTCAGTGAGAAACAGGGCGCTGTGCAGGAAGTTGATGTCTTTGTCTATCAGTGAGAACAGGGCGCTGTGCAGGAAGTGATTTGTCCTAGATCTTCAGTGAGAACAGGGCGCTGTGCAGGAAGTGATGTCACGTCTACAGTGAGAACAGGGCGCTGTGCAGGAAGTGATGTCAGTCTACAGTGAGAACAGGGCCTGTGCAGGAAGTGATGTCATGTCTACAGTGAGAACAGGGCGCTGGTGCAGGAAGTGATGTCAGTCTTCAGTGAGAAACAGGGCGCTGTGCAGGAAGTGATGTCAGTTTCTACAGTGAGAACAGGGCGCTGTGCAGGAAGTGATGTCAGTTCTCAGTGAGAACAGGGCGCTGTGCAGAAGTGAGTGTCATGTCTCAGTGAGAACAGGGCGCTGTGCAGGAAGTGATGTCACTCTTCAGTGAGAACAGGGCGCTGTGCAGGAAGTGATGTCATGTATTCAGTGAGAAAACAGGGCGCTGTGCAGGAAGTGATGTCATGTCTTCAGTGAGAACAGGCGCTGTGCAGGAAGTGATGTCATGTCTTCAGTGAGAACGGGCGCTGTGCAGGAAGTGATGTCCATTCTTCAGTGAGAACAGGGCGCTGTGCAGGAAGTGATGTCATGTCTACAGTGAGAACAGGGCGCTGTGCAGGAAGTGATGTCACTCTTCAGTGAGAACAGGGCGCTGTGCAGGAAGTGATGTACGTCTCAGTGAGACAGGGCGCTGTGCAGGAAGTGATGTCATGTCTTCAGTGAGAACAGGGCGCGTGCAGGAAGTGATGTCAGTCTTCAGTGAGAACAGGGCGTGTGCAGGAAGTGATGTCATCTACAGTGAGAACAGGGCGCTGTGGCAGGAAGTGATAATCTCAGTGAGAACAGGGCCTGTGCAGGAAGTGAGTCATCTCAGTGAGAACAGGGCCTGTGCAGGAAGTGATGTCACGTCTACAGTGAGAACAGGGCGCTGTGCAGGAAGTGATGTCACGTCTAAGTGAGAACAGGGCGCTGTGCAGGAAGTGATGTCACTTCTACAGTTGAGAACAGGGCGCTGTGCAGGAAGTGATGTCAGTCTACAGTGAGAACAGGCGCTGTGCAGGAAGTGATGTCACGTCTACAGTGAGAACAGGGCGCTGTGCAGGAAGTGATGTCACGTCTACAGTGAGAACAGGGCGCTGTGCAGGAAGTGATGTCAGTCTACAGTGAGAACAGGGCGACTGTGCAGGAAGTGATGTCAGTCTCAGTGAGAACAGGGCGCGTGGCAGGAAGTGAGTCACGTCCTAGTGAGAACAGGGCCTGTGCAGGAAGTGATGTCATGTCTTACAGTGAGAACAGGGCGCTGTGCAGGAAGTGATGTCATGTCTTCAGTGGAACAGGGCGCTGTGCAGGAAGTGATGTCACGTTCAGTGAGAACAGGGCGCTGTGCAGGAAGTGATGTCATTCGTCTTACAGTGAGAACAGGGCGCTGTGCAGGAAGTGATGTCACATCTTCAGTGAGAACAGGGCGCTGTGCAGGAAGTGATGTCATGTCTTCAGTGAGAACAGGGCGCTGTGCAGGAAGTGATGTCAGTCTTCAGTGAGAACAGGGCGCTGTGCAGGGAGTGATGTCAGTCTCAGTGAGAACAGGGCGCTGTGCAGGAAGTGATGTCATGTCTTCAGTGAGAACAGGGCGCTGTGCAGGAAGTGATGTCAATCTTCAGTGAGAACAGGCGCTGTGCAGGAAGTGATGTCAGTCTTCAGTGAGAACAGGGCGCTGTGCAGGAAGTGATGTCATTCTCAGTGAGAACAGGGCGCTGTGCAGGAAGTGATGTCATTCTCAGTGAGAACAGGGCGCTGTGCAGGAAGTGATGTCATGTCTTCAGTGAGAACAGGGGCGTGTGCAGGAAGTGATGTCATGTCTTCAGTGAGAACAGGGCGCTGTGCAGGAAGTGATGTCACATCTTCAGTGAGAACAGGGCCTGTGCAGGAAGTGATGTCAGTCTTCAGTGAGAACAGGGCCTGTGCAGGAAGGTGATGTCACGTCTACAGTGAGAACAGGGCGCTGTGCAGGAAGTGATGTCATGTCTTCAGTGAGAACAGGGCCCTGTGCAGGAAGTGATGTCATGTCTTCAGTGAGAACAGGGCGCTGTGCAGGAAGTGATGTCATGTTCTTCAGTGAGAAAGGGCGCTGTGCAGGAAGTGATGTCATGTCTTCAGTGAGAACAGGGCCTGTGCAGGAAGTGATGTCATTCTTCAGTGAGAACAGGGCCTGTGCAGGAAGTTGTATTTCATGTACTTCAGTGAGAACAGGGCGCTGTGCAGGAAGTGATGTCACGTCTTCAGTGAGAACAGGGCGCTTGCAGTGAAGTGATGTCAGTCTCAGTGAGAACAGGGCGCTGTGCAGGAAGTGATGTCAGTTCTTCAGTGAGAACAGGGCGTGTGCAGGAATGATGTCAATCTTCAGTGAGAACAGGGCCTGGGGCAGGAAGTGAGATGTTTCAGTGAGAAACAGGGCCTGGCAGGAAGTGATGTCAGTCTCAGTGAGACGGGCGCTGTGCAGGAATTGTTGTCACTGTCTTATGAGAACAGGGCGCTGTGCAGGAAGTGATTGTCATGTCTTAGTGAGAACAGGGCGCTGTCAGGAAGTGATGTCATCTTCAGTGAGAACGGGCGCTGTGCAGGAAGTGATTCTCTTCAGTGAGAACAGGCCTGCAGACAGTGTGTCCATGTCTTCAGTGAGAACAGGGCGCTGTGCAGGAAGGTGATGTCATTCTTCAGTGAGAAACAGGGCGCTGTGCAGGAAGTGATGTCACATCTTCAGTGAGAACAGGGCCCTGTGCAGGAAGTGAGTCATGTCTTCAGTCGAGAACAGGGCCGTGTGCAGGAAAGTGATGTCACGTCTACAGTGAGAACAGGGCGCTGTGCCAGGAAAGTGATATCACGTCTAAAGTGAGAACAGGGCGCTGTGCAGGAAGTGATGTCACGTCTAAAGTGAGAACAGGGCGCTGTGCAGGAAGTGATGTCACGTCTACAGTGAGAACAGGGCGCTGTGCAGGAAGTGATGTCACGTCTACAGTGAGAACAGGGCGCTGTGCCGGAAGTGATGTCACGTCTACAGTGAGAACAGGGCGCTGTGCAGGAAGTGATGTCACGTCTACAGTGAGAACAGGGCGCTGTGCAGGAAGTGATGTCACGTCTACAGAGAGAACAGGGCGCTGTGCAGGAAGTGATGTCACGTCTAAAGTGAGGACAGGGCCCTGTGCAGGAAGTGATGTCATGTCTACAGTGAGAACAGGGCACTGTGCAGGAAGTGATGTCATGTCTTCAGTGAGAACAGGGCGCTGTGCAGGAAGTGATGTCACGTCTACAGTGAGAACAGGGCGCTGTGCAGGAAGTGATGTCATGTCTACAGTGAGAACAGGGCGCTGTGCAGGAAGTGATGTCACATCTTCAGTGAGAACAGGGCGCTGTGCAGGAAGTGATGTCATGTATTCAGTGAGAACAGGGCGCTGTGCAGGAAGTGATGTCATGTCTTCAGTGAGAACAGGGCGCTGTGCAGGAAGTGATGTCATGTCTTCAGTGAGAACAGGGCGCTGTGCAGGAAGTGATGTCACATCTTCAGTGAGAACAGGGCGCTGTGCAGGAAGTGATGTCATGTCTACAGTGAGAACAGGGCGCTGTGCAGGAAGTGATGTCACATCTTCAGTGAGAACAGGGCGCTGTGCAGGAAGTGATGTCATGTCTTCAGTGAGAACAGGGCGCTGTGCAGGAAGTGATGTCATGTCTTCAGTGAGAACAGGGCGCTGTGCAGGAAGTGATGTCACATCTTCAGTGAGAACAGGGCGCTGTGCAGGAAGTGATGTCATGTATTCAGTGAGAACAGGGCGCTGTGCAGGAAGTGATGTCATGTCTTCAGTGAGAACAGGGCGCTGTGCAGGAAGTGATGTCATGTCTTCAGTGAGAACAGGGCGCTGTGCAGGAAGTGATGTCATTTCTTCAGTGAGAACAGGGCGCTGTGCAGGAAGTGATGTCACATCTTCAGTGAGAACAGGGCCCTGTGCAGGAAGTGATGTCATGTCTTCAGTGAGAACAGGGCCCTGTGCAGGAAGTGATGTCACGTCTACAGTGAGAACAGGGCGCTGTGCAGGAAGTGATGTCACGTCTAAAGTGAGAACAGGGCGCTGTGCAGGAAGTGATGTCACGTCTAAAGTGAGAACAGGGCGCTGTGCAGGAAGTGATGTCACGTCTACAGTGAGAACAGGGCGCTGTGCAGGAAGTGATGTCACGTCTACAGTGAGAACAGGGCGCTGTGCCGGAAGTGATGTCACGTCTACAGTGAGAACAGGGCGCTGTGCAGGAAGTGATGTCACGTCTAAAGTGAGAACAGGGCTCTGTGCAGGAAGTGATGTCACATCTAAAGTGAGAACAGGGCCCTGTGCAGGAAGCGATGTCACGTCTACAGTGAGAACAGGGCGCTGTGCAGGAAGTGATGTCACGTCTACAGTTAGAACAGGGCGCTGTGCAGGAAGTGATGTCACGTCTACAGAGAGAACAGGGCGCTGTGCAGGAAGTGATGTCACGTCTAAAGTGAGGACAGGGCCCTGTGCAGGAAGTGATGTCATGTCTACAGTGAGAACAGGGCACTGTGCAGGAAGTGATGTCACGTCTACAGTGAGAACAGGGCGCTGTGCAGGAAGTGATGTCACGTCTTCAGTGAGAACAGGGCGCTGTGCAGGAAGTGATGTCACGTCTTCAGTGAGAACAGGGCGCTGTGCAGGAAGTGATGTCATGTCTACAGTGAGAACAGGGCGCTGTGCAGGAAGTGATGTCACGTCTACAGTGAGAACAGGGCGCTGTGCAGGAAGTGATGTCACATCTTCAGTGAGAACAGGGCGCTGTGCAGGAAGTGATGTCATGTCTACAGTGAGAACAGGGCGCTGTGCAGGAAGTGATGTCACATCTTCAGTGAGAACAGGGCGCTGTGCAGGAAGTGATGTCATGTCTACAGTGAGAACAGGGCGCTGTGCAGGAAGTGATGTCACATCTTCAGTGAGAACAGGGCGCTGTGCAGGAAGTGATGTCATGTCTACAGTGAGAACAGGGCGCTGTGCAGGAAGTGATGTCACATCTTCAGTGAGAACAGGGCGCTGTGCAGGAAGTGATGTCATGTCTACAGTGAGAACAGGGCGCTGTGCAGGAAGTGATGTCACATCTTCAGTGAGAACAGGGCCCTGTGCAGGAAGTGATGTCATGTCTACAGTGAGAACAGGGCGCTGTGCAGGAAGTGATGTCACATCTTCAGTGAGAACAGGGAGCTGTGCAGGAAGTGATGTCATGTCTTCAGTGAGAACAGGGCGCTGTGCAGGAAGTGATGTCATGTCTTCAGTGAGAACAGGGCGCTGTGCAGGAAGTGATGTCATGTCTTCAGTGAGAACAGGGCGCTGTGCAGGAAGTGATGTCATGTCTTCAGTGAGAACAGGGCGCTGTGCAGGAAGTGATGTCATGTCTTCAGTGAGAACAGGGCGCTGTGCAGGAAGTGATGTCACATCTTCAGTGAGAACAGGGCCCTGTGCAGGAAGTGATGTCATGTCTTCAGTGAGAACAGGGCCCTGTGCAGGAAGTGATGTCACGTCTACAGTGAGAACAGGGCGCTGTCCAGGAAGTGATGTCACATCTTCAGTGAGAACAGGGCCCTGTGCAGGAAGTGATGTCATGTGTTCAGTGAGAACAGGGCGCTGTGCAGGAAGTGATGTCACGTCTACAGTGAGAACAGGGCGCTGTGCAGGAAGTGATGTCATGTCTACAGTGAGAACAGGGCGCTGTGCAGGAAGTGATGTCACATCTTCAGTGAGAACAGGGCGCTGTGCAGGAAGTGATGTCATGTATTCAGTGAGAACAGGGCGCTGTGCAGGAAGTGATGTCATGTCTTCAGTGAGAACAGGGCGCTGTGCAGGAAGTGATGTCATGTCTTCAGTGAGAACAGGGCGCTGTGCAGGAAGTTATGTCATGTCTTCAGTGAGAACAGGGCGCTGTGCAGGAAGTGATGTCACATCTTCAGTGAGAACAGGGCCCTGTGCAGGAAGTGATGTCATGTCTTCAGTGAGAACAGGGCCCTGTGCAGGAAGTGATGTCACGTCTACAGTGAGAACAGGGCGCTGTGCAGGAAGTGATGTCACATCTTCAGTGAGAACAGGGCCCTGTGCAGGAAGTGATGTCATGTCTTCAGTGAGAACAGGGCGCTGTGCAGGAAGTGATGTCATGTCTTCAGTGAGAACAGGGCCCTGTGCAGGAAGTGATGTCATGTCTTCAGTGAGAACAGGGCCCTGTGCAGGAAGTGATGTCACGTCTACAGTGAGAACAGGGCGCTGTGCAGGAAGTGATGTCACATCTTCAGTGAGAACAGGGCCCTGTGCAGGAAGTGATGTCATGTCTTCAGTGAGAACAGGGCGCTGTGCAGGAAGTGATGTCATGTCTTCAGTGAGAACAGGGCCCTGTGCAGGAAGTGATGTCATGTCTTCAGTGAGAACAGGGCGCTGTGCAGGAAGTGATGTCATGTCTTCAGTGAGAACAGGGCGCTGTGCAGGAAGTGATGTCATGTCTTCAGTGAGAACAGGGCGCTGTGCAGGAAGTGATGTCATGTCTACAGAGAGAACAGGGCCCTGTGCAGGGAGTGATGTCACGTCTACATAGAGAACAGGGCCCTGTGCAGGAAGTGATGTCATGTCTACAGTGAGAACAGGGCGCTGTGCAGGAAGTGATGTCATGTCTACAGTGAGAACAGGGCCCTGTGCAGGAAGTGATGTCACGTCTACATAGAGAACAGGGCCCTGTGCAGGAAGTGATGTCATGTCTACAGTGAGAACAGGGCGCTGTGCAGGAAGTGATGTCATGTCTTCAGTGAGAACAGGGCGCTGTGCAGGAAGTGATGTCATGTCTTCAGTGAGAACAGGGCGCTGTGCAGGAAGTGATGTCATGTCTACAGAGAGAACAGGGCCCTGTGCAGGGAGTGATGTCACGTCTACAGTGATACAGGGCCCTGTGCAGGAAGTGATGTCACATCTACAGTGAGAACAGGGCCCTGTGCAGGAAGTGATGTCATGTCTACAGAGAGAACAGGGCGCTGTGCAGGAAGTGATGTCACGTCTACAGAGAGAACAGGGCGAGAGAGGCAGCTTTTCGTACAACTGTACTGAATTATTATTATTATTATTATTATTATTATTATTATTATTATTATTTATTTATTTCACCTTTATTTAACCAGGTAAACCAGTTGAGAACAAGTTCTCATTTACAACTGCGACCTGGCCAAGATAAAGCAAAGCAGTGCGATAAAAACAACAACACAGAGTTACATATGGGGTAAAACAAAACAAAGTCAAAAATACAACAGAAATAAATATATATACAGTGTGTGCAAATGTAGCAAGTTATGGAGGTAAGGCAATAAATAGGCCATAGTGCAAAATAATTACAATTAGTATTAACACTGGAATGCTAGATGTGCAAGAGATGATGTGCAAATAGAGATACTGGGGTGCAAATGAGCAAAATAAATAACAATATAGGGATGAGGTAGTTGGGTGGGCTAATTTCAGATGGGCTGTGTACAGGTGCAGTGATCGGTAAGGTGCTCTGACAACTGATGCTTAAAGTTAGTGAGGGAGATAAGAGTCTCCAGCTTCAGAGATTTTTGCAATTTGTTCCAGTCATTGGCAGCAGAGAACTGGAAGGAATGGAGGCCAAAGGAGGTGTTGGCTTTGGGAATGACCAGTGAGATATACCTGCTGGAGCGCATACTACGGGTGGGTGTTGCTATGGTGACCAATGAGCTAAGATAAGGCGGGGATTTGCCTAGCAGTGATTTATAGATGACCTGGAGCCAGTGGGTTTGGCGACAAATATGTAGTGAGGACCAGCCAACAAGAGCGTACAGGTCACAGTGGTGGGTAGTATATGGGGCTTTGGAGACAAAACGGATGGCACTGTGATAGACTACATCCAATTTGCTGACTAGAGTGTTGGAGGCTATTTTGTAAATGACATCGCCGAAGTCAAGGATCGGTAGGATAGTCAGTTTTACGAGGGCATGTTTGGCATGAGTGAAGGAGGCTTTGTTGCAAAATAGGAAACCGATTCTAGATTTAACTTTGGATTGGAGATTCTTAATGTGAGTCTGGAAGGAGAGTTTACAGTCTAACCAGACACCTAGATATTTGTAGTTGTCCACATACTCTAGGTCAGACCCGTCGAGAGTAGTGATTCTAGTCGGGTGGGCGGGTGCAAGCAGCGTTCGGTTGAAGAGCATGCATTTAGTTTTACTAGTGTTTAAGAGCAGTTGGAGGCTACTGAAGGAGTGTTGTATGGCATTGAAGCTCGTTTGGAGGTTTGTTAACACAGTGTCCAATGAAGGGCCAGATGTATACAAAATGGTGTCGTCTGCGTAGAGGTGGATCTGAGAGTCACCAGCAGCAAGAGCGACGTCATTGATATACACAGAGAAAAGAGTCAGCCCAAGAATTGAACCCTGTGGCACCCCCATAGAGACTGCCATAGGTCCAGACAACAGGCCCTCCGATTTGACACATTGAACTCTATCTGAGAAGTAGTTGGTGAACCAGGCGAGGCAGTCATTTGAGAAACCAAGGCTATTTAGTTTGCCAATAAGAATGCGGTGGTTGACAGAGTCGAAAGCCTTGGCCAGGTCAATGAAAACGGCTGCACAGTACTGTCTATTATCGATCGCGGTTATAATATCGTTTAGGACCTTGAGCGTGGCTGAAGTGCACCCATGACCAGCTCGGAAACCGGATTGCATAGCGGAGAAGGTACGGTGGGATTCGAAATGGTCGGTGATCTGTTTGTTAACTTGGCTTTCAAAAACTTTTGAAAGGCAGGGCAGGATGGATATGGGTCTGTAACAGTTTGGATCTAGAGTGTCACCCCCTTTGAAGAGGGGGATGACCGCGGCAGCTTTCCAATCTCTGGGGATCTCAGACGTTACGAAAGAGAGGTTGAACAGGCTAGTAATAGGGGTTGCGACAATTTCGGCGGCTAGTTTTAGAAAGAAAGGGTCCAGATTGTCTAGCCCAGATGATTTGTAGGGGTCCAGATTTTGCAGCTCTTTCAGAACATCAGCTGTCTGGATTTGTGTGAAGGAGAAGCGGGGGGGTGCATGGGCAAGTTGCAGCGGAGGGTGCAGAGCTGGTGGCCGGGGTAGTGGTAGCCAGGTGGAAAGCATGGCCAGCCGTAGCAAAATGCTTGTTGAAATTCTCGATTATTGTAGATTTATCGGTGGTGATAGTGTTTCCTAGCCTCAGTGCAGTGGGCAGCTGGGAGGAAGTGCTCTTATTTTCCATGGACTTTACAGTGTCCCAAAACTTTTTGGAGTTAGTGCTACATGATGCAAATTTCTGTTTGAAAAAGTTAGCCTTTGCTTTCCTAACTGCTTGTGTATATTGGTTCCTAACTTCCCTGAAAGGTTGCATATCGAGGGGGCTATTTGATGCTAATGCAGAACCAAATGTACAAATGAAGGATATTGCATTATTTCTACCTTCTTGTACCTACTCAGGATACATCCCCATGAAGAGCACGACATTCATATCATCGTTATGCATTTCTGTATAGTACAGATCAGAGACCCATGATTAAATTATATTACCGTAATTCCATTACCGGGTGTAAATCCACTTCACTTACTGTAGTTCAATAACCAAAATATATGTTTTCAAATTCAAGTTGTCATATCATAACTGACACCCCATTCTTTCTGCAGACATCTTTTAATCTTAATTCGGAGCAGATATTTAACAGGGTTTTGGTAAAACGTGGTCGCATAAAAAACAGAGAGAGATTTTACCGTAATTCTGTTACCAAACTTTGCATCTTCACAGTTCTTCCAGTAAATGTGTTTTTGTTAAACTTTAAAATTAATGTTTTTTTGTTGTTGTTGTTGTTTTTTAATGAAAAAATGAAAAATCGGAGACTCAGCATTATTTTGTATTTTATTATTTTATCTTTAAAGCATAATTCCTTTAGTGTGGGAGTTCCCATATCACTCTCTCTCCAATATGCATCATATGTTTATTGAAATTCAATTTGAATATAACAAGCAGCAGTTGTTTTGTTTCTACAATCATTGTGACTAGTCGGAAAGCCCTACTTAAGCACTTACATCAAACACATTCTAGACTAGTAAGCAGCATCCCACTGAGCAAAAACACAACGTTGTTTTCACGTCATTTTTTTTTTTTTTTTGTGATAAAGCTCAATCAACGTGGAAAACCGATTGGATTTGCAAAAAGTCATCAACGTAAAGGAATTATTTTTTTCACCCAACTTTTAACCTTTTTTGAATGATTAGTTCACGTTGAATTCACGTTAGTTGACAACTCAACCAAACGTAAAACAGAACCAGACGTTGAGCTGACGTCTGTGCCCAGTGGGATAGAATGTTGGGCTTCAAAGTGAATGGTTCTAGAATCTGATTGATTGATCCAACTGATCAGTTGAAGGTCGCTTTATTTTGGTCAGCAATTGAGTTGGGAGTTGTGGTGGTTGGATTGTGAGGCTCTCACTCCAACTGGCACCTTCCTCATATCCATGTAGGTTGAATTAATGTTCCCTCTTCCCCTCTGAAATAAAGCAAATATGTCAACTTTAACCATTTAGCATTTACCCTTTTAGACTTTAATGATAAAGTGTGATCATTGAAAGGGTAGATCATTATTTTATGACAGGCATTGACATGGCTGACATGGATTATTAGTGTTCCTAAACCAGGAGGAAAGACCCCTTGGATTTTAACATGAAATTAGATCATATTGCTGACAAGTTAAAATGACTGTTGTGAAACGTTGGAAGCATATATATTGATCATTCTCACCGTAGGCTGGGGCTGATTAGGCTGAGGAAACATATTAGAACAGAAACATATTATATTAACATTAAATATATATTAGAACAGAAACGTATTATTTTAACATTTTCATTATTGTGTTTTGAAGATTATGTCCAATATATTGGCTTCAATTATGTGCCTTTATACAGTGCATTCGGAAAGTATTCAGACCCCTTGACATTTTGTTATGTTACAGCCTTATTCTAAAATTGATTAAATAAAACAATGTCCTCATCAATCTACACACAATACCCCATAACGACAAAGTGAAAACAGGTTTAAAAAATAAATTAATATAAATATATAAAAAAATTACTGAAATATCACATTTACAAGGGTCTGAATACCTACGTAAATAAGGTATTTCTGTGTTTGTATTTATTTTATTTTTCTTCTTTCTTTTTTGTTTTTGTTTGTTTTTAGGGGGTAGATCAGCTTAATATTGCAGATAGATTGTAACTTCCATCAATGTAATTGTCTGCATCACTTCCAATCCCCCATGTTTTTTTTTTCTCACAAATATACAGTGGGGGAAAAAAGTATTTAGTCAGCCACCAATTGTGCAAGTTCTCCCATTTAAAAAGATGAGAGAGGCCTGTAATTTTCATCATAGGTACACGTCAACTATGACAGACAAATTTAGATTTTTTTTCTCCAGAAAATCACATTGTAGGATTTTTAATGAATTTATTTGCAAATTATGGTGGAAAATAAGGCCTCTCTCATCTTTTTAAGTGGGAGAACTTGCACAATTGGTGGCTGACTAAATACTTTTTTTCCCCACTGTACATATATTCATCATCAATCATTTCTTTGCCAGTGGGCAAACGTACAAAATCAGCAGGGGATCAAATACTTTTTTCTTCACTATATATATATATATATATATATATATATATATATATATATATATATATATATATATATATACACACACACACAGACATACACACATACATATCCTTTTTTAAATTATATTTCCCACCCCTTCCCTAATTGGAGTAAACTAGTGAACAAAAATGCTTAGGCCTCTACTTCCAGCTTATACATACTATATACATTTTATGGACATTTTACAATAATTATATTTTGTTTGTTTTTACTCATGAACTTCCTCCGATCATTTTCATGATGTCCATCCGGTTTGCTTCTATATGCCATATATATGCCATATCTTTCTAACTGTGCTCTTTCAGAAAAGCTCCCAACCTATAACCTATATACTTATTATGGACACAGTATGTTTTACATTAGTTATCTTGTTGTTATTAGTTGTTGTTAGTTGTTATTAGTCCCAACCTTCAGCTCCATTCAACCCCTCCCATCTATCTCTTAACACCATCCATATTGGATTTCTATTTGCTATATATTTTTCAACTGTACTGTGATGTCTTACAAAAGTTTTGAACCTTTCTACTCTCATTGTTTCTACAGATCGTAAATTGAAAATAAACAATTTTGCTAAAAGTATTATTATATTATTGATCGATTGACTATGACTTTTCAGATCACCCAGTAGTGCTATCTGCAGGGTTAGCTCCAGGTAAATATTGCAATCCTTTAGCCATTCCTGGACCTGTGTCCAAAAACAAGCTACAAATGGACAGTACCAAAACAAATGATCTAATGATTCTGTCTCTTCGCAGCAAAATCTGCAGAACTGGGAAGATTGTATCCCCCATATAAATAACATTCTATTTTATATAATAATTTAAATTGAAAAATTCTAAGTTTTGAATCCGGTGTCGTTTTGCGTATCAGTTCATAAACACTATGCTTAGGAATCGTTATGTCAAAAATCTCTTCCCAACTATTTTGCAATCTATATGGGACGGCTGTCAGTGTGTTTTCACTTTGTCATTATGGGTATTGTGTGTAGATTGATGAGGAAAACAATTACTTTAATCCATTTAGAATAAGGCTGTAACGTAACAAAATGTGGAAAAAGTCAAGGGGTCTGAATACCTTCCGAATGCACCGTAACTGTGCAATTATGTGTTTTTCACTGCAACAACTGAAATCAGTGTAAACGCTTTAGGTTGTGCCAGCATTTCAAACGTAATCTGTGTTCTGGAAACCTAGTCCTATATTGGTTGGACTCAAATCTTATCTCTCGTAAAAAAAAAGGATCCAAACCTGCATGGGGACGTATGTCAGCGAATCATACAGCTCCTCTGATCGCATGACCTGAGAAAATGACCCCAAAACACATCAGAGAAGAAAGCAAAATAATAATCCGGTGCTCAGTTGGCCATGAATAACATTAAGGAAGAGAAACTCAGCTGGCCATGAATAACATTAAGGAAGAGAAACTCAGCTGGCCATGAATAACATTAAGGAAGAGAAACTCAGCTGGCCATGAATAACATTAAGGAAGAGAAACTCAGCTGGCCATGAATAACATTAAGGAAGAGAAACTCAGCTGGCCATGAATAACATTAAGGAAGAGAAACTCAGCTGGCCATGAATAACATTAAGGAAGAGTAACTCAGCTGGCCATGACTAACATTAAGGAAGAGAAACTCAGCTGGCCATGAATAACATTAAGGAAGAGAAACTCAGCTGGCCATGAATAACATTAAGGAAGAGTAACTCAGCTGGCCATGAATAACATTAAGGAAGAGAAACTCAGCTGGCCATGAATAACATTAAGGAAGAGAAACTCAGCTGTCCATGAATAACATTAAGGAAGAGTAACTCAGCTGGCCATGAATAACATTAAGGAAGAGAAACTCAGCTGGCCATGAATAACATTAAGGAAGAGAAACTCAGCTGGCCACGAATAACATTAAGGAAGAGAAACTCAGCTGGCCATGAATAACATTAAGGAAGAGAAACTCAGCTGGCCATGAATAACATTAAGGAAGAGAAACTCAGCTGGCCATGAATAACATTAAGGAAGAGTAACTCAGCTGGCCATGAATAACATTAAGGAAGAGAAACTCAGCTGGCCATGAATAACATTAAGGAAGAGAAACTCAGCTGGCCATGAATAACATTAAGGAAGAGTAACTCAGCTGGCCATGAATAACATTAAGGAAGAGAAACTCAGCTGGCCATGAATAACATTAAGGAAGAGAAACTCAGCTGGCCATGAATAACATTAAGGAAGAGAAACTCAGCTGGCCATGAATAACATTAAGGAAGAGAAACTCAGCTGGCCATGAATAACATTAAGGAAGAGTAACTCAGCTGGCCATGAATAACATTAAGGAAGAGAAACTCAGCTTTGACATGAATACTCTATAAAGTGTTGAAATAATGATGGCTTTGACATGAATACTACATAAAGTGTTCCTAACACAAGTTGTACTTGAAGCCTGTTGGTTTGTTTTCCTCTCTGACATTTCAATCAGCCAATCAGCTGTAAAGGTGTATATTATAATGAGTCTGACCCTTAGCCTGATATAGAAGAAGGTGATGGTAAAGCTGTAGAGACAGAGAAACGTAGACAGGCCAATCACAATCCACTTCAGTTGGACAATCAGCTCAGCCTCAGGAGACTCGGGTGCAGGGGAAGGACACACAGGGACAGGAGCATCTCCTGCCAGTCCTGGGAACAGACAGTAAAACATGGAATATCTTCCAACACAACCTTCGCCTGAAAACATACAGTATTGCAGACACAACAGAGGAGGAAACAGAGTTCAGGCATGATGAAATGCATTATCATTATACATTACGAAGGTACTTCATGGAATATCTAGAAACTACCTTCTGCCATTTAGACACTGCAGTAATTCCTAGAGGATTTGCATTGGTAAATGATGCAATCAATATCAAATGCAATATTTAGTTACATACTGTAGCCTTTCATCAGATCTTATTTGAACATACCAAACATAGACCACAGGAAATCAATCTAAGGCTGTGTCCCAAATCTCACCCTATTGCGTATAGTGTATGGTGCAGATCTCTGGTCAAAAGTAGTGCCTTAAATAGGGATTACAGCATTTGGGACAGAACCTAAATGTACAAGGCAAATGTTCCACTAACCTGGCAGCAGTTTGGTGAATGTTTTCCCCCGTACAGTCCTGATGGGCTTCATGGGTATAGGAGATGATATGGAGAACTCACACTGGAACAGATCACTGATGTCCTCAGCTTTTAAGTTGTGTAATGTGAACTTGTACTGGTTCCATGTCACCTTCATGCTGGTGCAGTCAGCCACCTGAGTGTTATTCACCTAATAATAATAATAATAATAATAATACATTTAATTCATATAGCACTTTTCATTGCAGAGGAATCTCAGTACTCTACCTAGGCAGAAACTAAACAACAAACAAACAATAAAGTCAAAAAATATAAAGTAGTAAAGTAGTAACATTATGAAATTATAAAGTTGTAAAGTTGTAAAGTTGTAAAGTTGTAAAGTTGTAAAGCTATAAAGTCGTAAAGCCGTAATGTCATAAAGTTGTAAAGTTATAAAGTCGTAAAGCCGTAAAGTCGTAAAGCCGTAATGTCATAAAGTTGAATTGAATTGAATTGAATTGAAGAATCAAGGCAGTTAAAATAACAGGGCTAAAATAGTCTTCACAGATAAGCTAGTCTGTAGACGGAACGGCTTTCAGATGGTCAGGGAGAGCATTCCACAGGTGAGGAGAAAGGAAGCAGACTGCCCCGTGGTCTGGAGACCTGTCATGGGAGATGTCTGGAGCTTAGTGTGTGAGGTGGCTCATGAGCAGCGATTAGGTCACTCACCTGACAGACCATGCTAACATCAGAGTTTTTGAGTCTGTTCAGCCTGGCGTCAATGACAAAGTCTTCCTTTGGGTCTGTGTGATTACAGGTGATGGAGACAGTACCGTCAGGGTTAACCGTCTGGGTCACAGGCTGCGTCACCTGAAACACTGGGAGGGGAGACAGTCAGAGTCAAACAAGAAGAGAGTAGATAACATACAGTAGAATCTCAATGTAAAGTGATTTTAGGAAACACTTTTCTCACAAGAAATGAATCCATGGAAAACAATGGTATTTTAGACAGCCACATTTCCTGTGGCCTTTCATCCCAAACGGAGTGAAGAGGATAAACCTATATACATCTCCATGACTTTTTTTAGTTATTATGAGTCAGGTGGATGTAAATACAATCTCAATTTTCCTGAATTAATGACATTGCTAATATTATATCTATTATATCTAATGGAACATAAGGTAGAGTTATCACCGTGGCTGTATCTAACATACTATATCTAAAGGAACATAAGGTAGAGTTGTCACGATAAGGTAAAGTTGTTACGATAAGGTAAAGTTGTTACTATAAGGTAGAGTTGTCACGATAAGGTAAAGTTGTTACTATAAGGTCAAGTTGTCACTATAAGGTAAAGTTGTTACGATAAGATAAAGTTGTTACTATAAGGTAAAGTTGTCACGATAAGGTAAAGTTGTCACGATAAGGTAAAGTTGTTACTATAAGGTCAAGTTGTCACGATAAGGTAAAGTTGTTACTATAAGGTAAAGTTGTCACGATAAGGTAAAGTTGTCACGATAAGGTAAAGTTGTTATGATAAGATATAGTTGTTACTATAAGGTAAAGCTGTCACGATAAGGTAAAGTTGTTACGATAAGGTAAAGTTGTCACGATAAGGTAAAGTTGTTACGATAAGGTAAAGTTCTCACCATGGCAGGGGCACAGAAGGGTAAAGAGACAGGCAGCCACAGAGATGAGTCTCCCTCTCATTTCAGCTCTTCTTCTTTAACCTGAACAGTGATGACTAGTGGGGAAAATCTCTTCTTATAACTCTCCAGCTCTCCTCCTATCACAGGGCTTCATGTGGTATACTTGTCTGTCATTGCAGTATCACAGACAATGTGGTAAATTGGGTTAAAGTACAGCTGGATTTAGACTAAATCAGGTGTTGTCTATGATTTATTTAATGTCATTTTGAAAATATTGATAAAGATGTCCCCTCACATTTATTTTTAATATCTAACGTCTATTATTATCACATGAATATGGTAGACCATTTCATAGGCTAAAATGGTTAGTAACTGAATATGGTCTTTTGTGTGGTTAAAGTGATGCTGTAGCAGTCCTTCACATGGTGAAGACTGAGGACTTGTTCGTGGTGAAACACGACCCACTTCTGACCACACTGGACAATCTTTCTAGTTGTGTATTTTTTTTATGCCACGTTTTTTTTCGATTTAGTAAATATGGAAATATGGAGACATTGGCAGTTCCAATAGAATAGATAGAGTTAGCTTTAGAGGTTCCTTACCAGTGGCTTGGTTGTGTTTAGCTGTGAAGTTGTTAACTCCACTAAATACGGTAGTTTCAGCACGATACCTTGTCAGTTAATAAATGTACATATTATCCTTTTTCTCTGTTGGCCGTCATTCTTTTTTTTTTTTTGTATCTGCTGTACCAGCATGTTTACGGACATTTTCTGCTGTCAGAAAAAGGAAAAACCCTTTGATTTGAAACTAGGTAAGCGGTTGGTGTTAATGCCACATCCTGTTGTGTTTAAGTGTTTTTCTCTGAAGTTTGTCACTAGGAACTAGACCTAAAATCAGTCAGCAGTAAAGTGGCTGGGTTTGCATTCCAAATAACACCCTATTCCCTACACATTTAACATTTTAGTCATTTAGCAGACGCTCTCATCCAGAGCGACTTACAGTTAGTGAGTGCATAAATTTTTTCTTACTGGCCCCCCCGGGAAACGAACCCACAACCCTGGCGTTGCAAGCGCCATGCTCTACCAACTGAGCTACAGGGGACCCATAGAGCTCTGGTCAAAAGTAGTGCACTACGTAGGGAATAGAGTATACAATTTGGGACGCAGCCTAGCTTTAGTCTCTAGAAGGAGAGGCCTCCTGCTGGTTCCGTTGAAGACAATCAAGCGCAGCTAAAGCATTTGAAGTAAATTTCAAATGGTGTTTGAACCCAGGCCTGCTGCGTGGGGCCCAATGGCATCCTGTTGTTATGCTGTGTGCGCACACGCTGGGACCTGCGTCCCAAACGGCACTCCATTCCCTACAAAGTGCCCTATGGGCCCAGGTTAAAAGCAGTGCACTATATAGGGAATAGGGTTGTCGTTTGGGACGCAGCCAGATACTGAGATATGGATTTGATAGAGAAGGATTGATAATGAAGAAGTGTTTTGAGGTTTGATTAACTTTTCTTTCTTATTATTACAATAGTAACAAAATAAGATCAAATTATAGGAATATTTTTTAGAAAACGTTGTTGTGGGGTCAACGGTCAGAGTTCTTGGCACCTGGTAATCTACAATGCCTTCAGAAAGTATTCATTATTCCACATGTTGTTGTGTTACAGCCTAAAAAAAAATTCTCCCCCATTTACACACAATACTCCATAATGAAAAAGTGAAAATGTGTTTTTAGAAATGTTTGCTAATTTTATTGAAAATGGAGTAATTAAATACCTCATTTACATAAGTATTCACACCCCTGAGTCAACACATGTTAGAATCACCTTCGACAGCGATTACAGCTGTGAGTGTTTCTGAGTAAGTCTCTAAGAGCTTTGCTAATCTGGATTGTACAATATTTGCGCATTATTCTTTTTTAAATTCTTCAAGCTCAGTCAAGTTGGTTGTGATCATTGCTAGACAACCATTTTCAAGTATTATTATAGATTTTCAAGCCGATTTAAGTCAAAAATGTAACTAGGCCGGCCACTCAGGAATATTCAATGTATATTTGGCCTTGTGTTATTGTCCTGCTGAAAGGTGGATTTGTCTCCCAGTGTCTGTTGGAAAGCAGACTGAACCAGGTTTTCCTCTAGAACGTTGCCTGTTCTTAGCTCCATTCCTTTTCTTTTATCCTGAAAAACTCCCTTGCCGATGACAAGCACACCCATAACATGATGCAGCCACCACCAGGATGCATGTTTTGGAATATTTTCATTCTGTACAGGCTTCTTTCTTTTCACTCTGTCAATAAGGTTAGTATTATGGAGTAACTACAATGTTGTTGATCCATCCTCAGTTTTCTCCTATTACAGCCATTAAACTCTGTAACTGTTTTAAAGTCACCATTGGCCTCATGGTGAAATCCCTGAGCGGTTTCCTTCCTCTCCAGCAACTGAGTTAGGAAGGACGCCTATGTCATTGTAGTGACTGGGTGTATTGATACACCATCCAAAGTGTAATTAATAACTTCACCATGCTCAAAGGGATATTCAATGTCTGCTTTTAAATTTTTACCCATCTACCAATAGGTGCCCTTCTTTGTGAGGCATTGGAAAACCTCCCTGGTGTTTGTGGTTGAAACTGCTCGACTGAGGGACCTTACAGATAATTGTATGTGTGGGGGTACAGAGATGAGGTAGTACTTCAAAAATCATGTTAAACACTATTATTGCACACAGAGTGAGTCCACACAGCTTTATTATGTGACTCGTTAAGCACATTTTTACTCCTGAACTTATTTAGGCTTGCCAGAACAAAGTTGAATACTTATTGATGCAAGACATTTCAGCGTTTAATTTCTAATTAATTCGTAAACATTTCTAAAAACATAATTCCACTTTGACATGATGTGGTGTTGTGTGTAGGCCAATGACACACTATCTCAATTGAATCCATTTTAAATTCAGGCTGTAACAATAAAATGTGGAAAAAGTCAAGGGGTGTGAATACTTTCTGAAGGCACTGTATATCATGAATTGAATTACCATAAGGGTAAAGAATTGTTCAGCTATACTGGTCTTAAAAAGACACACATTTTAGGATTTTGTGAGTGATTGGTAAATTAATATTTATAAAGGTAATACTAATCACAATAGCCTACACACGCTACGGATGTTTATTTTATATTCTTCAGATGTCAGCTTTCGATCCAGACAGGAAGAGATAACACAACATAGGGCTGTCTGGAGTCTCGACCACAATCTCAATATGGATCTTGAATCGTGGTCTACTGTTTTGAGTTGGTCAAAGAAATCTCAGTAAATGATGACTCTTAGTATCTCAGTAGTCAGTAGGCCTACGTTAGTTAGTGCCATCTAGATATGAGTGCTACTGGGGAAATCTCTGAGTGATGCTGAAGTAGCTAAGATTATCATCACACGCTGAGAGAACTAACCAATAACCAATGGGCTGTTCTACAAAGCATTTATTTATAAGAAATGACAGTGACAAAGACGGAAATTATAGATCAAAAGCAAACAATTTATTTTAGGCTATTGTAGACTTGATTTTACTAGTCTGCAATTTCTTTATATCGCAACATAATGAAAACATATAGAATGGAATAAAAAATAAATTTCTTAAAAATTATTCACTGGAAGTTGCCATAATCAAATTTTCCGTCATTCTGTGATATCATTGGTGTCATTGCTCCAAACCTTCTCTTCCTCTGTAGAACCTAGAAGGTAAATACATTATTATATCTATTAAATAGACATAGAGTATCAACAGTAGTGATTCTTGTTATCAGCTTAATGCTGCTCATGAATTTTCAACAAAACAGACAGTCTACCGAGGAGTGATCAATGTTAAAGCAGATGTTGTTTGCAAGGGCTCACCTGGTGAACGAGGAGGATGGTAATAGCAGAGATTACTATTAAGATGGTGGCAGCGGCCATTCCTGCTAGGGGTAATCTGACTGATGTTTCTCCTATATCATCTCTTCTCTGGGCCTCTGGGGTAAAGCATCCTGGTTCCTCTACAGACAGTCACATCATAATTCAATATACCATATTGGTTTGAGAACTAGGGCTCAATCCCAACTTCAAATGTGCATCTTTAACCCAACCCAAATTCTCAAACAAATCACAACTTCAAAGCAACGAATCAAAGTCCACATGATAGCTACCATCATAATGTCTGTATGTATCATTAGCATTAAGCCCTTCGATCTATTTCTTCTCAATACACAGTAGCATTACAGTATTACCTGTTATGTGGAGAAGGGTGCCGTTCCCAAACCTCCTGAGGTACGGCGGGGGGTACAGGACTTCTATAGCGCAGCGGTATAGGTCAGTGTCATTACCCTGGAGACCAGAGATAGTCAGGTTCACCCTGCCTGGACCCAACCGGCCCTGGCAATGCACCTTCCTCTCTCCCTCTCCCTCTCCATCCGTCTGGAAGGCTGTCTCGTTGTGGGTGAAGGAGGAGGTGCACACCTTCTGTTTCTCCTGCTCCCCGTACATCCCCCGGTACAGAGTGACCCTTAGCTCCTCCGGTTCATGTCTCCCTGTGTGGTGGTAGGAGCAGAACAGCTCTACCTCACCACGATGACCCACCGCACGGTACGGCTGGGAAACCTTCAGGGCTGGAGAGAGATGGTTGAGAGAGAAGGATAGAGAGAGAGAAAGAGAGAGAGAGAGACGGTGAGAGAGAGAGAGAGAGCAGAGAGACAGAGGGAGGAAAAGGTCAGATTCCCTCACTGCTGTTGCTGAGCTTGTATCTTATACAGCTGCACATCATCGAGAAGTAGAGGTACGTCCAATAACACCTGAGGCCCCAACAACACAATTCAACAACTAACTCTGCATTGGCGCAACGCTTTACTAAATCTAATCCTTGACTAAAGAAAGGTCTTGTATCATATTTGAAGAGTACTCACCATTCCACGCTGGGAGGCAAAGACTGAGACAGAGAAATGGCAACAGGCTGAGACTCATGATGACAAGAAGAAATGTACCTCCAAAAAGAATCTAGTCAGACTTTTATATATTACCAAGTGTTTCGGAAAGAGTTTGAAATCGTGCTCTGATGCACATGCCATAGAAGCCCATAGGTGCCTCAGTACCAGTAATACTAAACCACATAATCAGCTGTACAGTTCACTATTCTGGTAAAAGAGATTCCATTAAACAACGGAAAATATGCAAAGTGAATATAAAAAGAGAGAGAAAAAAAAAAAACCTAAAGTGTAACAATGAACTGATTAGTCATAATGAAAATGCTGATTTGTGATATTTTAGCTTTTTTTGACGTCATGACAGCGTCGATTGGAACTTCTTTGGTGCTGCAGTGATAACACTCAGAACCAATGGTAGAGTGGAGCAGAAGCGATAGGGGTTACACCCGTATTATGTCAGATAAAGTGGTTTGTCTGATTCCCATATGGGGTCCTGGTCAGAATTACTGCCCTATCAAGGGAATAGGTTGACATTTGAATTAGGGGTTATCCACCTATTTACCAACGGCAATCAATATTTATGTGTGCTTACAGTATACGTGAGGTTGTGTGAAACTGCTCAGAGATTTGTAGTAGACAGGAGCTTTAATAAGATTTGAACTGTTTCCTAGAATGGGTTTGAAAACATCAAGGAGGCGTCCCAAACGGCACCCTATTCCTTATATAGTGCACTACTATTGACCAGAGCACTATGGACCCTGGTCAAAAGGAGTGCACTACATAGGAAATAGGGTGCCACTTGGGCCTGAGCCCTACCGTGTCACAAGGAAGAACCTCTGGTTAGGGCCCAACACGAGGGTGTAAAGTTAAAATCACACATTAACATTCTCCATCCTTCACTTCTGCAACACACAAACAGCTTCATACAGTCTGATAATGTTTGATCATTTCTGTGGCTCTAGACTGTAATATTACAACTTGACATGATAAAACATCATGACTATAATCTGGAATATGAAATCATAATTTATATGACATAATCTGTATTATAAACCTGGTAGTTTGGATCCTGGATGCTGATTGGCTGAAACAATATTTCATACGTGTGTATATCAGACAATATACCATGGGTACGACACAAAAACACTAGTTTAATGTTCTTTATGTTGGTAACCAGTGTACAGTAAGGCACCTCGGGAGTTTGTGGTATATGGCCAATATACCATGTCCAGGAACTCAGCTTCGTGTTGTATCCAGTGGTGTAGTGGAGGGTGTACCAGGTATTCTCCAGTGGTGTAGTGGAGGGTATACCAGGTATTCTCCAGTGGTGTAGTGGAGGGTATACCAGGTATTCTCCAGTGGTGTAGTGGAGGGTGTACCAGGTATTCTCCAGTGGTGTAGTGGAGGGTATACCAGGTATTCTCCAGTGGTGTAGTGGAGGGTATACCAGGTATTCTCCAGTGGTGTAGTGGAGGGTATACCAGGTATTCTCCAGTGGTGTAGTGGAGGGTATACCAGGTATTCTCCAGTGGTGTAGTGGAGGGTATACCAGGTATTCTCCAGTGGTGTAGTGGAGGGTGTACCAGGTATTCTCCAGTGGTGTAGTGGAGGGTATACCAGGTATACTCCAGTGGTGTAGTGGAGGGTATACCAGGTATACTCCAGTGGTGTAGTGGAGGGTATACCAGGTATTCTCCAGTGGTGTAGTGGAGGGTATACCGGGTATTCTCCAGTGGTGTAGTGGAGGGTGTACCAGGTATTCTCCAGTGGTGTAGTGGAGGGTATACCAGGTATTCTCCAGTGGTGTAGTGGAGGGTATACCAGGTATACTCCAGTGGTGTAGTGGAGGGTACACCAGGTATTCTCCAGTGGTGTAGTGGAGGGTATACCAGGTATTCTCCAGTGGTGTAGTGGAGGGTATTCTCCAGTGGTGTAGTGGAGGGTATACCAGGTATTCTCCAGTGGTGTAGTGGAGGGTATACCAGGTATTTTCCAGTGGTGTAGTGGAGGGTATTCTCCAGTGGTGTAGTGGAGGGTATACCAGGTATTCTCCAGTGGTGTAGTGGAGGGTATACCAGGTATTCTCCAGTGGTGTAGTGGAGGGTATACCAGGTATTCTCCAGTGGTGTAGTGGAGGGTATACCAGGTATACTCCAGTGGTGTAGTGGAGGGGTATACCAGGTATTCTCCAGTGGTGTAGTGGAGGGTATACCGGGTATTCTCCAGTGGTGTAGTGGAGGGTGTACCAGGTATTCTCCAGTGGTGTAGTGGAGGGTATACCAGGTATTCTCCAGTGGTGTAGTGGAGGGTATACCAGGTATACTCCAGTGGTGTAGTGGAGGGTATACCAGGTATTCTCCAGTGGTGTAGTGGAGGGTATACCAGGTATTCTCCAGTGGTGTAGTGGAGGGTGTACCAGGTATTCTCCAGTGGTGTAGTGGAGGGTATACCAAGTATACTCCAGTGGTGTAGTGGAGGGTATACCAGGTATTCTCCAGTGGTGTAGTGGAGGGTATACCAGGTATTCTCCAGTGGTGTAGTGGAGGGTATACCAGGTATACTCCAGTGGTGTAGTGGAGGGTATACCAGGTATTCTCCAGTGGTGTAGTGAAGGGTGTACCAGGTATTCTCCAGTGGTGTAGTGGAGGGTATACCAGGTATTCTCCAGTGGTGTAGTGGAGGGTATACCAGGTATTCTCCAGTGGTGTAGTGGAGGGTGTACCAGGTATTCTCCAGTGGTGTAGTGGAGGGGTATACCAGGTATTCTCCAGTGGTGTAGTGGAGGGTATACCGGGTATTCTCCAGTGGTGCAGTGGAGGGTATACCAGGTATTCTCCAGTGGTGTAGTGGAGGGTATACCAGGTATTCTCCAGTGGTGTAGTGGGTGGTATACCAGGTATTCTCCAGTGGTGTAGTGGAGGGTATACCAGGTATTTTCCAGTGGTGTAGTGGAGGGTATACCAGGTATACTCCAGTGGTGTAGTGGAGGGTGTACCAGGTATACTCCAGTGGTGTAGTGGAGGGTATACCAGGTATTCTCCAGTGGTGTAGTGGAGGGTATACCAGGTATTCTCCAGTGGTGTAGTGGAGGGTGTACCAGGTATTCTCCAGTGGTGTAGTGGAGGGTGTACCAGGTATTCTCCAGTGGTGTAGTGGAGGGTATACCAGATATTCTCCAGTGGTGTAGTGGAGGGTATACCAGGTATTCTCCAGTGGTGTAGTGGAGGGTGTATCAGGTATTCTCCAGTGGTGTAGTGGAGGGTGTACCAGATATTCTCCAGTGGTGTAGTGGAGGGTATACCAGGTATTCTCCAGTGGTGTAGTGGAGGGTATACCAGGTATTCTCCAGTGGTGTAGTGGAGGGTATACCAGGTATTCTCCAGTGGTGTAGTGGAGGGTATACCAGGTATTCTCCAGTGGTGTAGTGGAGGGTGTATCAGGTATTCTCCAGTGGTGTAGTGGAGGGTGTACCAGATATTCTCCAGTGGTGTAGTGGAGGGTATACCAGGTATTCTCCAGTGGTGTAGTGGAGGGTATACCAGGTATTCTCCAGTGGTGTAGTGGAGGGTATACCAGGTATTCTCCAGTGGTGTAGTGGAGGGTGTACCAGGTATTCTCCAGTGGTGTAGTGGAGGGTATACCAGGTATTCTCCAGTGGTGTAGTGGAGGGTGTACCAGGTATTCTCCAGTGGTGTAGTGGAGGGTATACCAGGTATTCTCCAGTGGTGTAGTGGAGGGTGTACCAGGTATTCTCCAGTGGTGTAGTGGAGGGTATACCAGGTATTCTCCAGTGGTGTAGTGGAGGGTATACCAGGTATTCTCCAGTGGTGTAGTGGAGGGTGTACCAGGTATTCTCCAGAGGTGTAGTGGAGGGTATACCAGGTATTCTCCAGTGGTGTAGTGGAGGGTGTACCAGGTATTCTCCAGTGGTGTAGTGGAGGGTATACCAGGTATTCTCCAGTGGTGTAGTGGAGGGTGTACCAGGTATTCTCCAGTGGTGTAGTGGAGGGTATACCAGGTATTCTCCAGTGGTGTAGTGGAGGGTATACCAGGTATTCTCCAGTGGTGTAGTGGAGGGTGTACCAGGTATTCTCCAGTGGTGTAGTGGAGGGTATACCAGGTATTCTCCAGTGGTGTAGTGGAGGGTATTCTCCAGTGGTGTAGTGGAGGGTATACCAGGTATTCTCCAGTGATGTAGTGGAGGGTATACCAGGTATTCTCCAGTGGTGTAGTGGAGGGTATTCTCCAGTGGTGTAGTGGAGGGTATACCAGGTATTCTCCAGTGGTGTAGTGGAGGGTATACCAGGTATTCTCCAGTGGTGTAGTGGAGGGTATACCAGGTATTCTCCAGTGGTGTAGTGGAGGGTATACCAGGTATTCTCCAGTGGTGTAGTGGAGGGTGTACCAGGTATTCTCCAGTGGTGTAGTGGAGGGTATACCAGGTATTCTCCAGTGGTGTAGTGGAGGGTATACCAGGTATTCTCCAGTGGTGTAGTGGAGGGTGTACCAGGTATTCTCCAGTGGTGTAGTGGAGGGTATACCAGGTATTCTCCAGTGGTGTAGTGGAGGGTGTACCAGGTATTCTCCAGTGGTGTAGTGGAGGGTATACCAGGTATTCTCCAGTGGTGTAGTGGAGGGTATACCAGGTATTCTCCAGTGGTGTAGTGGAGGGGTATTCCAGGTATTCTCCAGTGGTGTAGTGGAGGGTATTCCAGGTATACTCAGTATATCCATTTATGTTTCAGTGGGAATCGTCTATACTCACTTATAAATCACCAGGATGCGTATCAAACTAGTGTAGTGGAGGTCTACGCCATATCAATTAAGAAGGTGGATGGAACAAATCAGAATGTTTAGCTTAGAATGTTGATCAACTATTATTTATTCACAGGAGCGGCAATGTGCACATGGCGGAAGGCCTCCACGCGAACGTTACTAAATGCAATTTGCAGTAAAACACCGTTCTCAAATGTGCACTGCACATGCAAGCGTTTTTCATGGACAGAGATGGAAATACAGTTAGAAGTTTAGAAAGAGGGG